CCCCAAAACCCCAAAACCCCACGAATAGGAATTCTCTAGGTTGAGTAGAAATTTCTAGATTATAAATTAACGACTTTAATATCAAATATTAATCTTAAATTATGGTTTATAAACTTCTGTCTTTAGTGTTATTGAAGTGCTCTATCATCTCACAGATCAAAGATAGTGACTTTAACATCTTTTTCATAAGAATACCTAATGATACACCACTTAGTGTATTAGACTAAGTAGGCCAAGTTAGCAAGTTACATTAATAGTCATTTGATTGGTAGCATTATGATTTTATGAGAGACTACTAAAACAATAGAATTTAAGCGGTTGCCAATGCACCAAAGCAAGTTAATTACTACACTAATATTGGTTCAGACAATCTTTTTGTATTTTATGATAGTAATCATAACAATGAAAGTACAGTTCACACCATAGTTGAAGACCTGCAATTACAAATGGATTTTGATTTACTTAAAATAGATTTCAATCCATATCATGGGTTCATCAGAGATGATGTGACTTTCAATCAAGTCTTGAGTATCATTAAGGAAGGAAAACTTCCCTACCCTAGTCATGTTAATGGAACAATTAGAAAGTTTGATTCAGATAGTGGTTTGAAATTACTTGAAAGATTCCGAGGATGGAGGAATAAGCCTGCATCTCTAATATAATACAACTTTAAATTTCCCGTTATGAAGCTCAACCCTAAGATGATTATTGAAAAAACTTTGCCATCTAAGGGAGATTTACTTATTTTCTTCCATTCAAATGAATACACAGAATGCTAGAAGCATAATCAGCAATGGAACACTCTTGCAAAGCACTTCTCTAATGTATAAGGTTTGAATTTCGCTGAGATAGATTTTACAAGTGATACGTTAGTAGGTGAATGGTTTTACTAGTTGCCTATGTTTTTCTTATACAAAAAAGGAATGCACTATAAGTCTTACTAGATGGAAGCTAATCTTAAGACTTAGCATATAGTTTAATATTTGAAGAACAATTCTCAATCATACAAGAGTTTTGTTAATAACTAGATTGAGAAAAGAGCAATTATGAAAAAATAAGATTATTATGTTTTTCAAAATTATTGCGCCCCTATCTACACTCATCCTCAAAGCGTAGCTTTAAATCTTAAACATCAGCTTTTAGACTATGATGATATTGTAACGAGAGATGTTAATCAAAATATAGAATTAGTAGGTTATGCTTTAAGACCATTTGAAGAGTATAGAGGCTAAAGATTAGGGTCAGAATTCCTAGAAATATTAAGATTTGATAACTCAATGGCATAGACTAAGGCATTCGTTGTTAGAGCACCGTTATTCGCAGAACAAAGAAAATAATTCTGGGCTTTAGTAAAAGACGGCTACATGCCAATAGGAATGATGGGCTATATGAGTTATCCAAAGTATGATAGCTATGAAGCATTTCTTGATGATAAAATTCCGTTACTTAAAGATTCAGGTCTCACTCATATGTTTAAAGCGTTTGCTGGCTGGTTACATAGTACGAAAGAACCTGGATAATTCATTGGAAATCAGCATCCAAGGCTAAGATTTTCAGAGTCTGATTTGCAATACTATATAGTAGATACTGCTGTGCCAAAAAATATTACTTAAACCAAAAAGGATATTGATCTCTTGTATATAATCAACGATGAAGAATAAATTGACTTCCATATGAAGACTCAAAATTGGAAATTAGCTTTGGCAAGCTTTGAAAAGATAGCGAATTCATCATCAAAAATCAAGGTTGTCTCAATGGGAAAGCAGTTACCCAAACATCTGAAAGGAAAAATTATCAGAAAGAAATTTGTGGAATAAAACGAAGAATTCTATGGGTATTTAGCCAGGGCTAAAGTTCTCTTTGTTCCTAGTGTTCATAATTCTTCTCCAAAACTAATTACTCAAGCTTTAACCTTAGATACTGCTGTATTAGTAAATTAAGATATTATTGGAGGATGGAATTATGTGAATGAATAGACAGGTGCCTTCTTCAAAGATGAAAATGACATTTTACCAGTTTTAAAAGATCTAATAAAAAAGTAAAAAGAAAAGAAACTATCACCTAGACAATGGTATCAAAACTATTTTGTGAAATAGCCTAAGAGACTTCAAGCATTTGTAGAATTGCTTAGATGGGAATACAAGAAACCTCAAGATGATCTTTATTATATGTAATGAAGCATACATTGTCTTGCAGACTAAGTTAGACTCTAAATTCAATTTTCATTTAAAATTCATTCATTTATACTCTACAAATTTTAATTTTAAGGGGTTTTGGGGTTTTGGGGTTTTGGGG